GCCTAAATATGAAGCTGCAAAATCATGGACATGTAAGATTTTCGTCAAATTAATAAATTTTTAATTTTTACATGATTACTAATTGATTGAATTTTAATAGGACTATATTATTAGAATATTCACATGTGAGTTGTCATACATCGTTTATACAGAGAAAATTGGTCTAATTTATAAGTTTAATGGGCTACTCCTCCGGCCACCAATTGGTTTTGAGATGGAACCTCACTTGGGCTTCATCTTGGCTTTCCATGTTATAGTGCGTAGTTTTTCTCCTCGTTTCTTACATGGTATCAGAGTCGATTCTACTTGGGACCGACCGTGCAATGACGTACGCGTTTACCCAACCCGTTTCTAGTAGGATTTGCGCATTCGACTCCATATATGGGATTGAGCCCGTTTCTAGTGGGGTTTGGGCACTTGACTCCGTATATGTGGGTCCAGCCCATTTGTAGTAGGGTTTGGGCATTCGACACCGTATATAGGCTTGGGCCCCGTTTCTAGTAGGGTTTGGGCAGGGCATAATATTCACTTATAAGTTGTCCCACATCCTTTATATAAGAAAAATATGTCTAATTTATAAGTATAATCGGTTACTCCTAATACCACCAATTTGATTTTGGGTTGGAACATCTTTCCCTGTTACAGTGCGCTTCACAACTTCACTTGGACTTTATATGAGATTTCCCTCGCACTCGTTTTTTTCCTGGTTTCTTACATATACTAGTACAACACTCGTGTATTACAGGGGTGCTTGTTAAAAAAATATTCCTAAATTTTAAAGTTAATGAGAAAACTATATTAAATTTAGTTTACTTTTTTACAAAAAAAATATATTACTATATATTTTAGAATGATATGTGTTACTTATCACTAACATGTGTTATATTATATTAGTTTTTATAACTTATATCATATAACTACTTAAAATATAAATATGTTAGTTGATAAATAATTTTATTTTTCTAATTAATATTAAAAATAATTTTATTATTGTTATAAAGATAAATATAAATTATTTTTTATACATACAATATGGATGTTAAATCGAAGCTCATCAAAAGAAGATTAATTTGATATATTACATATGTAAAACTGATAAAAAAATACAAAAGTTATTAACTTTTAAAATATATATACAATTCAATAGTTATAATAATAAATGATATTAAAATGCAATTAAAATACATGTAACATGACCATAAATAATCAACATATTTATAGTAATCCGAACCTAATTATTTTTTGTTTGGAATTAAATTAAAATTTACCCAAACCTAATAACGAAGCATGTAATTTTGTCACATAGAATTTCGAAGCACCCGAATCAGTCACGTAGGCTCAGCGCGTTGTGGATTAATATGTAGGAGACATTTTATCATTTTGTGAGTTACGTGATTGCTTTTCTAATTATTTTATAACACGCCTCGATCTGACAAGTCAGTT